TTTATATATCACATCTTTATCCATTCATCAGTTAATGGACATGTGGGCTCTCTCCATAGTCTGACTATTATTTATAATGCTGTTATAGTCATTGTGGTACATGTACCCCTTTCAATCTGTATTTTTTTATCCTTTGTGTAAGCACCTAAATAGGTTTCTGTATTGAACTGATGTATATAATTTGTTTATCCATTCAGCCATTGAAAGGTATTTGGGTTATTTCCAGATTTTGGCAATTATAAATAAACCTGGTATAAACATGTGCATTTAGGTTTTTGTGTATATCTAAGGTCTCACTTTTTGTTGGTAAATACCTAGGAGTAAGATTTCTGGGTCATTTATTAAGTGTTTAGGTTTGATAAATGTACTTCTAATTTTACAAGAAATAGCCAAACCATTTCTAAGGTGACTATCCCAGTACTCCTTCCCATTCATCTATGAGAGTTCCAGTTTCTCTGCACAGATGCTCCACACTTCACAAGCACTTGATACTGTCATTTTTGTTTTGTTTTGTTTGATTTTGTTTTGCCAGTTGCAGATGTCTAATGGTATCTCCTTATGATTTTTATTTAACTTTTTATGTTGAAGTAGTTACAGGTCACAAAGAGTTAAGAAATGCAGATGGAAGTCCTGCATACCCTTTATTCAGATGTTGTCAGTGTTAACATGTTTCAATACTATAGTACAGTAGCAAAACAAGGAAATGGACATTATTAAAATACACAGACCTTATTCAGATTTCACCAGCATACATGCACTAATTTGTGTATGTGTATATGTGTGTGAGCATGTATGTGTGTGTTTGTATTTCATGCAGTTTTACATGTTCAAATTTATGTAACCACCACCACAATCAAGATACAGAAGTGTATCATCACTATATGGCTCCTAATATCACCCCTTTATATAACTACACTGATCCCCTTTTCTGCCATTTCTAACTCCTGGCAACCACTACTACTATGCCTCTAATTATGTTATTTCATGCATGTTATATATATGGAATCATACAATTTGTATCTCTTGGAGATTCGCTTCTTTCTCTTCCATATTTTCTATGAACTGCATTGAAGCTCATTGCATGTCTAAATATTTAATTTCTTTTTATTGATGACTAGTATTCCTTTGTATGGATATATCAAACTACTGATGGACATTTGGGTGGTTTGCCAATTTTTAGCTATTATGGAGAGATCTGCAGTGAACACTTGTGTAGAAAATTCTGCATGAAAGTAAAATTTTAATTCCCTGGGAAACATCCCCAAAAGTGAAATTGCTGGGTCAATGGTAAACCATTTATAGTTTTAAAAGCAACTGCCAAACTATTTTTCAGAGTGACTGTAACATTTGACATTCCCACCAATAATATACGAATGACCCATTGTTTTGGCATCCTTACTAACATTTGATGATATCACTTTTTTTTTCATTCTATTAGGTATGTATTAATATCTCATTGTGGGTTTAATTTGTACTTCCCTAATGGATAATGATGTTGAATATGTTTAACATGTTTATTTGGCATCTGTATGTTCTCTTCAGTGAAAAATCTGTTCATCTCTTTGCCCATTTTCTAATTAGACTGTATTTTTTGAATGTTGAATTACCAGAGTTTTTGTTTGTTTCCTAGATATATGCATTTTTTGGACATGTGATTTGAACACATTTTTTCCATGTCTATAAGTGGTTTTATCTCAGACCCCAATTTTTTTTAAATTTTTTTTTCAGATAAAGTCTACTGTTTTTCCTTTTTGGATCATGCTTTTGGTATCAAGTGTATGAACTCTTTGTCAACCTTAAGTCCTGAAGATTTTCTACCATGATATCTCTAAAAGGTGTAGTTTTGTGTTTTACACTGAAGTTCATGATCCATTTTGAGTTACTTTTTGTAAGGGGTGGGAGATTAACTTTTTGACTAATGTAACTTCAGTTGTTCCACCATAATTCTTTGAAAAAGCTATCGCTTGTCCTTTGAATTGTTTTTGCTCCTTTGTCAATAATTAATTGGACATTTTTGTGTTGGTGTATTTCTCACTTCTCTTCTGTTCCATTGATCTATGAGTCATTCTGTCCACCATTGCTATGCTGTTTTGATTATTGTAACTGTATGGTAAGAGTGATTCCTCTCAATTTATTCTTCTTTTTCAAATTTTTTTTCTATTCTAGGGTCTCATTCTATATACATTTTAGAAAAAGTTTATCTATGTTTAAAAAAATTTGCTATTATCTTGATACAAACTATGTTAAAACTATGGAACAATTTAGGAAGATTTTACACATTTACTGTATATTATTGAATCTTCCAATCTATGAATATGGTATGTCATTTCATTTATTTAGATTTTGTATGATTTCCTACATCAGAATTTTGTACTTTTCACTAGATACTGTACATTTTAAAAATTTTTTATTTGTTTATTTAATTTTATTTTATTTAAATACAATTAATTAACATATAGCATATTATTAGTTTCAGAGGTAGAGTTTACTGATTCATCAT